CTCTCAAAAATAAACATTAGGGGCGCCTGGGTGGCTCAGTCGGTTAAGCGTCCAACTTCAGCTCAGGTCACGATCTCGCGGTCCGTGAGTTCGAGCCCCGCGTCAGGCTCTGGGCTGATGGCTCAGAGCCTGGAGCCTGCTTCCGATTCTGTGTCTCCCTCTCTCTCTGCCCCTCCCCCGTTCATGCTCTGTCTCTCTGTGTCTCAAAAATAAATAAACGTTAAAAATAAACATTAAAAAAAAAGAAGAAATAGGCAAGCGAAAGACTAAGAGAAAATATTAACAAAACATATATTAGAAAACATAGCTATATCTAAAACGTATCAAAAATTTAACAACTCAAGAATAAAAAAATCATTTTTAAAAAAGCACCAAATATACATGAATATAAATGAATGCTTAGTAAGTACCTGAAAATATATTCAATATCAGTTACCAGAAATGCCATTAAAACCATAATAACATACCACTGCATAACCACCAGAATGGCTAAAATTAAGCCATTAATTTTAAACTGAATAACAAGCTTTGGCAAGGATCTGGACTATGCAGAACTTGGATATTGTTGGTTTAAAACGGTAGAACCATTTGGGAAAATACATTCTTGGACATGTATCATCTGTGAATATGTCCAGGATAAATTCCTTGAATTGGAATTGATGGCTGTAAGGGTTTTTATGTTTTATTAGCCCAAAACTATTTTCCACTGAAGTTGTGCCATTTTACATTTCCATCAGCAACATATGTACACAGTGCTAACTTCCTCAAATCCTTACCAACACAGCCTATAATCAAAACTTTCAATCTCTGCCAATCTGAGAAATGGCATTTCATTGTGGTTTGAATTTGCATTACATAGCATTCCATACGTTGAAAGGATCTGCATTTCCTTTTCCATAAAGTTGGCCCCCTCTGTTGTTAGATTTCTGGTTTTGTTATTTGAAAAACTCTTTATATATTAAAGAAATTCACCCTTGGTTTGCAAAATATGTTGTACTTCCCTAGCTTATCTATCTTTTGACTCTGTATGGTATTTTCTTTCACCATGTGGAAATCTGATAAGTGGTTAAACATATCATTTGTTAAAACAGTGTCTAAGTTTTGCAATATAATTTTAAAAAGTCACTGTCACTCAAATATTATAAAAACATTTACATGTTCTTTTCAGTACTTTTATGGTTTCATAATTTTACATTCACATGTATGCTCCATCTGGAATTTATTTTGGTGTAAGGTATAAGAAAAGGATCTAACCTAATTTCTTTCAGATGTTTACCAAGTGGCCTCAACATCATTTTAGAACCGTTGTTTCCCCCGCTGATTTAAACGCCTTTTTGATAACTTACTAAATTTCCATATATATTTAGATCTCTTTCAGCACTTCCTATTTATTTAGACACTATCTGTCTATTCATGTACCAATGCCACACAGTTTTAACTATTAAAGCTTGATATTGTATTTTAATCTCTAGTAGATCTAACCATCCCCCTACGATTGCTCTTCACATGTGCAGAATTTCCCGGCTCTTCTTGGGTAATTTTTCTAAAATTCTGTACTTAGGGGGCAGGGCGCCTGACTGGCTCAGTCAGTAGAGTGTGTGACCCTTGATCTCAGGGTTTTGAGTTCAAGCCCCATGTCGGGTACCGTAGAGATTACTTAAAAGACAGAATCTTAAAAAATAAATAAAATAAAATAAAATTCTGTACTTAGTACAAAAATATTACCAATATGAACAAGGAAACAGTAATAAAAATGTTATGGTGTATCTTGTCTGTTGTGATGGAGGGACACAGAAGCAGAGAATCCCAAGAATGTCTAGTAACAAAATAGATGCAGATT